TTTAGGCATCTACTCGAATTTTTTTCTCGAAAACCTGTAGGATTTCGAGGGTATGTCTGTTGACCAAAAACGATTATAATTGACCCCCGAAACTAAAAATAATTTTTCTAGAATGATTTGGAATTTTTCAATTTCGCCGAAACATTTTCCGGTCGGTATGAAACTTTAAATGTTAATAAGTTTTTAACGAAGCCTCAATCAACAAACTGGTATTCTTGATTTTTGTCTTATTTTGGCCTCTAGAATATTCCATTCAAATTTTTCCCAGAGGTGGCCATACACCTTGTATCTTATCTTTGAATTGATTTGAACATTATTTATCGATAGTTTTGGCTATCTTTTCAAGCCGAGATTCGAATCGAATAGTGGAATATTTCTTTTATAATACGGCACGTGTAACTATATACCAGACCAATTAAACCATGATCCCATTTGGTCCCAGAATTAAATTAAAAAATTCCTTGATTTCTTTTCGATTCTCTCCGTCGCAAATGGCTCGTTTTCCTTTAATATTTTGTCCCGTCCTACTCGATTACAATTTTCTACAAAATGTTAGATCGAAGCACAAACGAAGAAACGGCTCGCCGGTGTTCCGTAATCGCTTTAGAACTCTTTAGAACGACGAGGACCGCCGCGGCTCCCTTTCGAGCACCCTTCGTCGAGTGCAAATACGAAGCACACCTCGATTACTTCCGCTAACGACTTACGCTACCGAAAAGCAAATCCCACGGAAATGAGAGGGGAAACGCAGGGAGTCTATTTGAACCGCACGAGTGCTCGGAAGAGATAAACTCGACCAAAGCTCTCGTGTGGTCGAGCCAGATCGAGCATTGAAATATCGATGGTCATCGATGGGGGACCAACAATTCCATACAACCGGGAGAATACCGCCATAGCTGTTCCACTTACATCGTATACATGATTACACGTGCGTGCAACAGTCACACGTTTGCGTGTGATCGAATATGACAACAATGGCTTTAGCGTGTTCGTAATTATAAATGATAACCGCAATCGCGTACTCAGCGATAAAAAGTCTGCTATCGTGAGATTTTCGAGCTCGATATCAGGCTAAAAATCTGTCGTATCGCGGGCCAACACCCCACACAGAGCGTATCTCAGGGGTGGTCCCCCCGAGTGTGTGCCCTTCGCGAGTATCTGCGTGCAGTTTTGCAGCAGTGCAGCAGGATACGTCGGAAGGGGTTGCGTTCGCACCGGTAACGCGATCAATAAGATAATTGAAGACTTTCTCGACAATGCCGGCGGAAGGGAGCAATTTCGCCATCTCCCTTGTACTTGAGCAAGGTCATTGTTTTCGAGGGGATTCTCATCTCGTTCCTAAGCACCATCGTCGCATCGTTCGGTTATAATTTGTATCCTGCCGGCTTAAACGCGTTGGCCCCCCCTGACTACGCCGAAAACGAATAAATCGAGGTGAAACCCGAGGACCCGGTTCGCGTGACTCATAAATTGTAAATTCGATCGATGGGTCGGTGAAAGGGAACGAAATTAACGGGAGACAATATTGTCCCTTAATAATTATTTGAACAGTTTCATAAACATATTAATTAAAACGTTCTCAGCGAATGTTATCGACGCGGTTTAACGCATCAAAATTCGCCTAAATGGAAAGTGAGACAAAAATAACTCCATTTTACCAGATTTAGCTTCATTTTTTTCTTTATCAGAGCGGACAGGGAAAATGTTTATTTAGCTTTTTAAAACATTCTTTCGTGTCACTTATCGTGTCCCCCTTGCAGTGTAAGATGCTTCAAAAAACAACAATTTCCAATGAGATCGATTTACCAGAAACTCGAGTGCTATTCGATAGAAAGAAAAATTAATATATTGCTTGATAAGACTGTGCCAACTGCGTTGCTTTAATCGCCAATGTGAAAAAAATTGAAATTAAAAAATATGGGAGTTTGAGAACCACTGATCCCGCCGAATACGTAAAAATCTTCGATGCATGGCAGAAGAACGAACGTGCTCCAGCTCGCGGTCCAATAATTCGATGTATCTGTTTGCTTCGGAACTCCTGGGTATCGGGGGTTCGAATTCTGTTCAATTACCTGTCCCGGCGAAGGTGATACGACGTGCCCACGTGAACAAAAGAGAAAAAACGGATAACAGCCCCCCCAAAAAAACGTTCGTATTTCGATTGGTAAAAAGCGTCACGAGCCAAGGAGCGCATAACAAATTAATCCGCGCCCAATGGGTACAGAGGCGAGGAAAAACAAGCGCCTCGAAACGAGACCGCACGCTCAGTTAATCAACCGTGAAAAGTGAACTCGCAGAGAACAAGAAACAACGACCTGGCAACGAGACACGCCGAGGCAGTCTCCGCGTGCTACGAAAAACCGGTGCACGGTCTTACGATTATCGGGCAGGATATCTTGGGAGGGAATCGTTCGACCGTAATGGTAAAAAGTAATTCGAACGAGCGCAGGTATTCGGGGGACGAGCACGTGCGACGCACGACGATGCACAGTTATACAGAGTGCTCGGTCAACCCTGGGAAAAATTTTAATGGGAGATTCTAGGGGCAAAAATAAGACGAAAATCAAGAATATCAATTTCTCAATTAAGGCTTCGTTAAAAAGTTATTAACAATTAAATTCAAACATTTCAAATCGTTCTGAAAAAATTATTTTCAGGTACGGGGGTCAATTACAATCATTTTTGGTGAATAAACATACCTCCGAAATCCTACCCACTTTCGAGAAAAAAATTCGTGTAGGCGCTGAACTTTTTCGGTGAAAAAGAAATTTTCAAATCGTTCTAAAAAAATTATTACTAGCTAGAGGAGTCAATTGCAATCATTTTTTGTGAATAGACATATCCCCGAAATCCTACGCATTTTCGAGAAAAAAATTCGAAAAGATGTGAAATTTTTCGACAGAAAAAAAGAATTTCAAATCGTTTTGGAAAAATTATTTTAGGTTGCGGGGGTGAATTACAATCATTTTTGGTGAACAGACATACCCCCGAAATCCTACCCATTTTCTAGAAAAAAATTCGAGAAGGTGTGAAATTTTTCGACGGAAAAAAAGAATTTCAAATCGTCCTGAAAAAATTATTTTCAGTTTCAGAGGTCAATTACAATTATTTTTTATGAATAGACATATCCCCGAAATCCTACTCACTTTCGAGAAAAAAATTCAGTACGATCGGAACTTTAAACGTTAATAACTTTTTAACGAAGTCTCCATCAACAAATTGATATTCTTGATTTTCGTCTTATTTTGGCCTCTAGAATCTCCCATTAAAATTTTTCCCAAGGATGGCCGAACATTCTGTATACATAGTCGTTCGTGTGCATAACTGTGAACTATTCCAATATTTGATCGGTACTAGGATAGTCTGCACGAATGTCATTGCTCCTAGGTTACCATTTACATATCACTATTTTCCATTGTAACAGTATTATTATTAAAGTATCATTACTCGAACATTGTTATTCGGATAAGAATGTATCTGCTTGCACTATTTAAATAACACGGATATTGGCAATATGCTTTAATATCACATCTTGTCATCGACGGTTCGGGTCACGCATACGAACGAAGCATTATAGCTTGTTGCTCTTCGATATTCGAATATGTCGCATGCTCGGGAGGCATCTGATCCCTCTTTATCAATATTCAAAAGCAACCAGAAGGCTGTAGACAACGTGCGGGGAGTGATTAATTTAGCCGACCACAACGCTTCGACTCTCTTTCTGGGAACCCTTTATAGGTATACAAATAGCTGATAAAAGGGTAAGAAGATAATCACGCGAGTTTACAAATATACTGTTGGGTCACCGGTGACCGGCACTCGACTTTTTTTTGGCTACAGCGCTGTGGGGGTCACCGGTGACCGTCGACCAATAGTAAAAATACCCGGCGATCAACGTGTTAATGCGTCAGATATTTGACGAGTCTGAAAAATACCCAAATAGTATCGAATATTTGAACCACCAACAATATCACAAGTCCAAACCCAATTCCAGAGTCGAGACTCTGCTCTCGAGCATAACGGTACCGGGACATTTTAGAGACATTTATCAGGACGAATTAAAGCCCGAAATTTCGGTTCCGTTAGGTACGCGACTCCGAAAGAACGGTAATGCACGATAAACGAAAGAGCAGATAGCTCGTGTGTCGCTTTAACGTGTTCCTTTCGACGGATCGACAATAGATGCTCGTTTCAAAACTCGTAAGGAACGTAAATAAACTCGGTAACTGCCGGTAACCTGACCTGTACTTGCAACGGATAACGCCAGCTCGCAACAAACGTACCAGTTAACGGGCTGTTTTGTTCGAACTGTTTAACGAGCATACGACAACACGATGATCGCGTACGAACAGAATGTGCTCACACGTGCGTAAACATCCATAACCCAGGAGTAAAAGTGAAAAGCGACCGGGTCACGACATACGATATCGAGCATAATTACGTGCTCGATCGATTCGACATGTTGATGTTTCGCATCGCCAGCGACTGGTAATGCGCTCGCGAATGTTACGTACGATTAACATTTTTTTTTTTTTTTTTTTTCTAAATAAATTGCGGATGATTCATCCGTTCCAGCCGTACGAGGCAATTATACAGACCTTCGCCGACTCGTTCGTACGATGCATAATTTGATCGCAGGAACAGCAGAAAGCCAGCCAAGGAAATCGATAAATCGTAAGCGATCACTCGTATTTCAATACCGTGCACGCAATCGTGAAGAAATACGACTCGTTGCGATACTGCATAGATTTCAAACTCCGGCAAGGCTTGGCATAAAAAAAGAGTAAACCGACTGCAGGGCGGCGACACCCGGTGTAGTCCCCACGAGGGTGGGTTTCCACGAAAGCATGCTGATAAAACCGGCGATCGATAAGAAGTCGGGGTTGCATACAGTAATGTGCACAACATCAACGAAAAACCACCGTGACGAGCGTGTCGCGACGCGTCCCTGCGCGATCTCTTCGCCGAGGAAACGTAAAAGGAGGTAAAAAAGGACTCACCGCCCGAAATTGTTCCAGCAACTCCTGCCGGTCGTCGATCGCAGTAGCCATGTTGCTCGAATATACTGTAATCCTTTCGTCTTTCCTTTCTCCGCAGTCCCTGCGCGACCCTTCTTACTCCCTCTCCTTCCTTCCTTCCTAGGCTGTCTTGTATACGAGTTGCACCACAATCGTACTGGAAATTGTCGAACACGAGTCGGTAATTTTCACCCGGTACACGCGGATAGTTACAAGAACGGTTACTTGGGGCGTTCTCGCACCTCGCGTACGCGTTTCTGGTCACGACGCGATCACGAAGCAGCCAGACACCGCGGGAACGCGTCCCACTAGCACGGAGTCGGAACGAATACTGAGGCGCCATACACCAAACGGAGCGCCCGCCAGCACCACGGCGAGCCACGGAAACGCCCGACGTATCACGAAGGGACCACCGTCTTGACACCTTGGGACAGGTTCGTTTGGTTCAACGAAAATACCCAGACGCTGATCGAAGTTATGATTCCAGCTTATCGTCTCGGCTTACGAACAATTCTTTTATCTTGTTTACCCTCGCCAATATATTTCGCATCTCGAAGCGAACAAACGTTTCCACGTTTCGTTAATCGTCCTTCCATTACTTCATGTCGTACGATCTACGCGTTCGTTATTTCACGAAGTCGAAACTTTTTGGGTTCTTGTACTTCGGAATCACTTTGGTCGGCTGACTAATGTTTTACGTACCGTCGGATTCCGTACAATAGAACGGACGAAAGCTGCCATTATTTGGAACTATTTCCCATCCCCCCCCCCCCTGGGCGGTTACACGTTTGAAAACCTGAGGGCGGAAATTGTCGTGCTCGACTCACGTCGAGTCGCTCTTTGCGGATGATCTCATTCAACGTGTCGCGAAGTTTCGTGCGCCTCGTACTTACTTCGTAGAAGAACCATAAATTACGCTTCGACTTGCCCTTCTACGTGATCCCATCGTAGCAAATCTAAACACCATAGAAAGAATGGAAATAGCTTTGGAAAAGGTTAGTTCGTCCGCGTTTTTTCGAAATCCCATTTAAAATGTTTTCTCCATATCCTAAAAGACATTCGAACGTACGGTACGAAACTGATGAAAGAACGATACCTTCGATTCTAACCATATTATTCGTAAAAACCATTTCTATCCGCGTGACAGAGATACGAATGCCTTGTACCATGAAATTACAGAACACAGAGTGAAATATTGCAGACTTCCGTGTGCCGGAAATTACATACAGACGTATATATGATTATCCAGGGAATAAAACCAGTTACCTTAAGCGAGCATAACCCTGTTTCCCCCGAATGTAGCAATCTCATTAACACACGACCCAATTCAGAGTAGATTATAGGAAGCATAAAAAATAAATTAACCAAACAAGTTTGTGGTATGCGTTGTTTGTCATATTCAAACCCGATACGAGATATGTAACTTCGACAAGCATTGTTTACTGCTTTGTAAATTCTTCGGTAGCAGATAGAAGCAAAAATGACAGATAATGTAACCTAAAATAGATAGAAGTGAAACAAGAAGGAATAAATTTACCAAAGCAACCGGAATTAGATAAAAAAAGAAGGTATGTGACATTTAAACGATCAACATCCTCATTTTCATAGCTTGTTTTTAAAACGATACGTGTTTACCATTCTTGCTACCAATTTTATCGTCTGAGGATAAAGAATGGTATGCGTATTCACCGCGGTTTCGCCTCGACGTAATTAAAAATTGAACACGAAAGACGCGACACGAACGTTTAACAATCGTACTTCGAGCAACGACGATCATTGTGCACTTTGTCCCTCGGAATTAAAATCGTAAAGTATAATGTGATTAATAACGTGCAATGAGCAAATGACGAAGGTGAAAACGATTCGTTTACATGATAGAAAGACGCAAATGACACTCGCGGGCGTTCGTCTTTGTGTAAACGAACAAAACGAAATGCCTGCAGTGGTGATTCATTTTTTTACATACACATCAGACATATACATCGAGAAGAAAAAATTCTGGTTGACTCACTCGCTCGGACTGATGCGAAGCGAAGTATGTTTCCATGTCTGATTCGATATTAAAATGCATCGTTGGAGGACGAATGGGTTAAACCGATACACGCGATTCCATCGTGCATTTTAAGTGTACCTATCGTCTAAATTGGTACCATACGAAACATGGTTGGAACTCTTACAAATTGACTGACTTATTCTAATAAATGATCGTAATAAAGAAAACTAATTTTAAGTTAGGACATTTTACGATATGAAATTAAATTTCATGAAAATATATTTCGCAAGTTGAATACCCGCGTCTGTCGCTTTAAGCTTGATATCAAGATGAAAATCAATTCTGCGTTCCAATTTTTTTCTTCTCTAACGCCTGAAATATTACTTTTTTGCTGAAAGCCCGTTCTACACGAGCACGAAAATCTTTCTGACCCAACTTGCCCAACTTCCCGTCGTGCGTCGTGTAAACGAGAAATTCACGTCTCCTCCAACTTTCATGTTCCGCCGCTCTTTATTGACATTCTATCTCTCCCACCGGTCACACGAATACGCTTCCACGGGCATCGACCCCTTTTAAATAATGTTACATCACGGGAGATGAGCAACGATCGACTTGTCAGAATTCCTCGGTTTCTAGGGGAATTTTTCTGACACTTCCCTCTAGCTGCCTGCTGGTCCCGTAACGTTGTAAAATCTGTTCCGCGTGGTCGGAGACAGGAATATTCCGATGAAATTCGAAAAATTTCTGTCTGGGAATACCGTGTTCTCGAGACTCGAATACGCGACAATGAGAAGAATTTTATTAAGAGTAATGCATATCACTTTTTCGACGCTATATTAAAAAAAGTTTTACCAACATTTATGCATTAGACTAAAAAAATAATTTGTTACGGTAGCGTTTCTTCCTTTACGTATGGATTAAATAAAAATGAATATTAACAAAATGTGAAATTTTTAATATAAAAAATTTCTATTTTCCATTCAACTGGACTAATGATATTAAAGAGTTGTTAGAAATTTTGACCCAGTTCGGTGTGGAAACAGTTCGTGCGCATCGATTGCAAGCAAAACACAGGTGAACGTGGAAAAACAGTGCAAGTTCTTTCGAAGTATTGAATGTACATGTACACATATACATTAAATATATTTTATCGGAAATCAAAGTGATATAATCTTACAAATAAAGGACTACTTTAACGCTACTTAGCCTTAAGTTACATTTACTGTTCATAAATATTCGTCTGTCTACAATGATTCGCGTATAAAGGAAATAAACTATATCCGAGCGTCGTATAGTAAAATAGTTATTTACGCAATGGTGACGACGATGGAGGATCGCACCCATTAACAAAAAGATTTTTCTCGTCAACGAATCGACTTCGAAGAAATTCAAAAACAAAACAAAACAAAACACGAATAAATGAAAAATGTAAAAATACGAAATCTGCAATAGTGTTTCTCTACCGACTATACACATTTTTGGTGGAATTTCAAGGGGCTTACTTGCGAGGCGAAGTTTGGAATAACTAAAAAAAACAAGTAAAATTTGTCGCAAACGCTTCTACGCGAGACTTTTTCTGCGCGGTGCACAGAAATAGGAAGAAACAAAGCGTAAAGAAACGATCGAGCTGATTATTAAGACGATTAGTAACGATGCATTGGAAGTTAAGTAACGCCTTCTGACTAAATAATTTCAATGAAAATGAATGACTCATTCGCTTGTAAGTAATTACCATATATATGTATACATTAAACAAAATTAGGCCAATATCGAAGTTTCCAATTGATCATTGATTTTGCATTAAATTCTATCACTTTCTTTTAAATACAAACAAAAAAACATATGCACAATCCTAAAACGATATAAAAAAAAATAAGATGAAACATTCACTGACGTGAAAATAAATGACTTTCTATCACTAGTAAGCAATTCATAATCGTATCACAAAACAGGAGTTTCAAACGAAATCCTCGATGAGTTAAAAAAAAAAAAAAGAAAAACAACTAATAACTCTCCCTTTAAACAATACGTGAACGATGTTTAAAAAAAAAAAAAAAGTATCAGCTGCGCTCAGAAATTAGAATTTGCTACACGTGGTCGTGACATCTAATTACAACATTAATTTACAAAAAACGATTTTGGTCGAAATATAATACTTTTTCTTTAATAATACACTATTTGTTCGGGTCCAGTGAACTGTTTAATCTGCTAGAAGTGCATGTTACGCGAACATTTCATTGCAAGGGAAACAAAAATTAATACTAGACCGTTTTGTGCTTGTCATCGGGGGAAGGCGAACAAAAGACGAATTTTCTTTCGTACGATGAATTAGTACAACTCCATGGGAACGTGTAGGCACTCGCCTTTATACATGCTGAATCAATATTTCAAGTCATCAATATTCAACATAGTACACAAGTGGTTTCTTTTTTTTTATGGTAAAGTACAATGTTCCAGTATGTCCACCCTGCATGTAGCAACAGCTGTGAGCAATCACGCGGTTTCAATCTTCTCAAGCTATTAATCACAATGTATTTTTAATGATAGTGTACCGATGAAATTTTCTCGTGTCGCTTAATAGAAAAAGATGATTCTAAGTACCTCGTATAAAATATATGTAACCAATATATGTATGTGTATATATATATACTTATTATGAAAGGAAACAAATGAAATTCACACTTCCGTCTAACCCAAACCGCGAAAACACTATCGTTAGAAATTCACTGTGTTCCCGCGTATATCCGGGTACGATGATCGAATAGATCATCGAGCCCGTACGTATCTGTACAAAAATATATGTGTGTACACATAATGTCTCATCGATTCTTTGACCCGCACTCTGTTTTAAACGTAACGCGTTAACACACTGATACACGTCGATACCTCCCTTATCTCTACACACCAGTTACTTAAAAATGGATTCTGTTAACCGATTGTAGAAACAATCCGTCTTTCTTAAGCTACGTCTAACAATGGAACATAGATACTCGTTAACAGAATCCATTTGCAAATGTCACCGCTGACAGTTCGCGTTTTACGGATTATACGAGCGTTTAAAACAGTCGCGTGTCCGTTCCACACATAACATGCATTCATAGAGTTTAACTTTTGCATGGAAACTCAATGAACGACACTTTTTCTTTAACAAGTAATTATACAAAGTTTCTCGCGCTGCTAACACGCTGGTTTCGCCAATTGATCTAGGATAGAAGTTTCTTTTTTTTTTTTATACAATTACACTTTGCATACCGTGCAAAGAACTACACAAGTAGACAGAGACACGCACATAACACATTTGCACGAGATAGTAAAACGAATCGTTTTTTTTTCTTTTTTTTTTTTAAAAAAAAAACTTAGTTCAACGATCACATTAAAAAATAACTAGAAAGTCATTATCAACTACCATACGAAGCATGGTTTTGTACCAGAGTCAACATCAAATACACAAATTCTATACTTTACATGAATGATAACACGATGTACACCCTTTCGTTTTTAGTCCTGTTCATAGAGAATGAGATCCATATTTTGTGTAATGCTTACAACATTTATAAAATCATTTGTTACGGAATATATCTAATCGTTAGTGTAAGTATCTTTATAACTTTTATATTTAGCGATTTTATAATACTTTTTAATGTACAAAGTAATAAGTATGGTTTAATTACACTATTACGATGCGTTACATTACGTGGACATTAAAAATGTTAGATAAAATTTAGTTGTGTCAAATGACCGATCAAAGCCCCTAACATTGAAAATTTTAGTCGATGAAACGTTTAATTCATAAAACGATGCGATTTAAATATCAGCAATGTAGAATTTTATGCACGATTAGCTCGTTTCGCCAAATTTAAATATTAAAATGGTAACAGAGTCGTACGAGAAATTAAGACAAATGTTATTTTCGTTTAGTTTAAATCATAAAATTATGCGTTAGTACCTGAAATAGAATTTGTTCTTTCTATAAAAGATACTTCCTTCGATTAGGCCCTTTCAACGAAATCTCAACCCAAATATCAATACCGTAAATGTCCGTGGCAAGAAGTACAAAAATTAAATGAAAAATTAAATGACTCGTGAATGGAACCAATCATAAGTTGTACACTCTGGTCCAAAATCCGATAAATTTGAATTAATTATATCAGGAAGGCAGATTTAGATATGCCATGTATCTGCGTGTCAATTCAATTCTTTATACAAACTGTAACTTATTTCTACCTATTATGTTTCCATCTAATTTTCTTATATATACGTATAATATCTATATCTTAATACACACATCTCTCAGTCTATCTGTACATACTACATGGTGCAAACGGACTTCTGTTCCACTTTGCGCCATTACAATTAAAAACTGATACAAAAACTGACGGAATCTTCTTCAGAACAGAAGTATTCTGAGACGACTCATTTATTTTTCCCCCTTTGTTACGCCTACTTATTCGCCGTCGCTAATTTCTTTTTTTTTTTCCTGTGTCACATATCGCCCAAATCGTTAGGTCAAACAATGCCCCGGATTCTGTTGCATCCCTCTACCCTGCACTCTTTTTAAGAGTAATCGCTCTCACGCTATAGAATCGCATTATAAATAGTGTTAACGCATACCGTTTGTTATTTGACAGTCGTTGGTCTCGCGAAACGTGAATTTTCTTTTTCATCGACATTAATAACGAGAGACAAGGGACAACAAGTTACAATCAGATGCAAAATATTGACTTTTTTTTTTTCAAAAATCCGCGTACAAATTACGAAACACATCACGGTTCATCCGCGATATCTACGTATTACGACCCATAGAAAAAATATTTTTATTTTTTTTTCCCCGGTAGAAGTTCATAATTAATTTAGAATCAACGTACACTTTAAATGTAAATGTAAAAACAAACGGGGATTAATGTTATTAATTAACATTAACCGGTTCGAGCCGTTTAGGCGCGTAAAAATGTAATGCAATGAAAATAATTTACCACAAATACAAACGAATGTATTACACTTGAACAATAAGTCCATCTCCTAGCAAGGATAAACGTTTCTTATCTCAAAAAAAAAAAACGGAAGAAAAAATAAAATACAATGCAATGCTATACATACGAAAAACTTTGCTGTTCTATAAAGCGCATCAAATCAAAGTAAAAAAAATAATGTTCACAGTCGTCAGGATTGAAATATGACTGTAATATAATACTTTATCTCCAACGTCCACTCGCAACAATAACCATATGACACACGATGACCTGCAGTACCAACGGACTGGGGTAAAAGTGATAGGTAACATTAAATGTCAGACTGTAGATTTACAGTCGAAATGATTTGAAATCGGTGAGCATCCTAGCCTTGTACGGACCTAACAAGATAAAGTGGGCTAGTAGGTCCTGACGAAGGATGTCGTTTCCTGGATGTCTGCTTCACTGTCTGTGCCCTGGTATCCCTGAGATTGAGAAAGGGAAAGAAGTGCATCCAGGCCTAACGATTCAGCTAGCGGATCTGGCGCTCTCGACTACAGCATGGACAACAAAAAATATTGCTCTAAAACTATAATATAATAAAAAACACTACCACGGAAATAAACGGTAAGAATCGGGACAAATGAAACTGAGAGCAACAACGTTACTGCAAAATTCGACCGGCTGAATGATCTGCTAACGAAGAACAAACAATGGTAACGATAAAAAACGATAATCCAGCAAATGTTTCCCTTTACACAAGTGCAGCAAATATAAATAAAATTATCTGGTCTAAAATTAGCAGCGATAACGTACGCGTTATGAGTCTACTAATGCAAACATACCGTCGAATTTTGTTCTGCTTCTTTGCAATTACTACAAATGTAATCGTCTTCTTCCGCTATTTCCGTACGATCCAATCCGACGCAGTGCATGTGGAACCAACCCTCGCAGCCACCATCGCACTGAACCCAATCAACTTCCCTCCCTATATTCAAATCAAAGTATATAGTAGTTTATAATAATAATAATTCTATTTCAAATGATTTTATGGCAGGTATTATTACTCTTACCGCTGGGTCGTAAGCAATTGACAGCTGCGCAATCATCTTCTTCGTCGGAAGTGTCCTGTTTGGTCTTCTTTCGGTTACCACCCCTTTTCTTCGGCACCTCGTCGCCTTCTTTGCGTTTCATCTGCAATACATATTTAACTGAAATCGAGCTAACCGATGTTCAACAAACTGTGTTTATTTCATAGATTTTTAATTCGATAAAATGTCTCGAATTTAAACTTTATTATAATTTTAATCTGTTCGTAAGAAAATTTTTAATTATATTATTGTTGATATTGGGAAGTCGTTCGAGGAATGTATATATAGCAACCGAGGGTTGGTCGAACGCTTGTGAGAGCACGACCCCTCTGGCGGCGAGCATGGGAGGCGACGCCATATTATGTTAATGCGAATTACATTAAATTTGAAAGTTTTAATTCGAGGCAGATCGTATTTTTCAATATAAATACCTTTCGAGGTCCGCGCTTTAAGGGCAACGGGGAACTGGCAGATTTCTTTTCTTTCTGTAAACCCTTACGTTTGGCTAAATTCTTCTCTTCCATTTTTTGCCGTCCAAGTTTCTTAAGTAGCTCGAACTCCTCGGACTTCCTTTTCCTTCCCCGCTTTTTTATATCCTTTGGATCCTGGGTGGTTACATTGGTTTGTACTTCTTCGTATGCTGCGTATTTGCGAACAGTACTTGGACTGTTTGTGTGACTTAATATGCGCCATATGTGTTGCGTTTCGTCGAGCGCAACTTCCAACAGATCACCTTCCATCATTAATTCTTCTAGGCGTAACCTTGCAGACTGCGAGAGCATAACTGCGGCTTCGGCTGAATCGTTTGACTGAGATTTACGTTGTACTTTAGATACTAAAGAAACAAAAGAATATGCATGAATATCACGAACATAACTGATTCCTAATAGTCAAGATCTGTTTTCTTTATAAATAGAAATCTTACTATAAGAGTAAGCGTGTTCGTTACTGTTAAACGTACTGCAACTTGGTTCGTCGTCGTCTATAGTAACAACATCGTCGTCGTCGTCCTAAAAAAATATATCATGTATGTATTCAACTACGTATAACATTCATTTTACATACAAATTTAATTAATACTATTGACACTCACTGCAGTACTAAGTGCACTATCGTCCGAGTGTACACCGCTAAGTGGCGCAATTGCTTGTACCCTTTGATGCAGCTCGGGGTTATTCGCCGCTTTTTTCAACTCGCTGCTAATTATCTTTTCTGTCTTTTCTCTTGCCGCGGCTTCCACTAATTTTTGCGACAGAACGGATAACTTTGCTAACGCCGATGAAATCTCATCCGTAGCCAATGCTTGCCGAGCTCGATCCTATTAAAAGTACACACAATTAGAAATTACGTTGCTTATTTATTACGTGAAAATTTTACAAGCATTTAATTCAAGGGGAAGGTAGGGAAGTGTCGATAAAAAATTTTAAAAATCATTGCTGCGTATGACTATATATTTCAACATACAGCCATAGTAATACTCGTTTTTCTTGCGGAGCACTTACCTGCCAATTCATTGCACGTTCTGTTAGACATTGCAATGCCTCACCTTCTGGTAAACGAATTGGAATTTTTTGAAGACTGACTAAAAGTGCCAAAATTGTTTCTAGCCGTGGTCGCCGCGAGCGTAAACAACAAGGGCATAAAAACTTAATCTCCCTCGACATTGGTAATTTTCCTTTGTACGACGTTTTTGGTAATGGTACACAATTGGCTAAGAAGAATAATCACGATTAAACTACTTGTAAATTTAATTTGTAATTGCACGCGTACTAGAAATTTGATACTTACAATGAAACCAATCTTTACAAAGTTCGCATTGAAGCATAAGCCCGAATCTTGGCCGACGACAGACGCAATACCTAGAATCGTCTATCTCGGTTTTCATTAAATTTCTCTCTCTTAAATTTCTCATCGCTTCCATTTCGCGCTGCTCGGCTAATTTAAACGCAGCCACGACGGTAGCCGAATCATTGGAATCGTCCAATTTTGTATCACAGACAAAGACAGGTCCTACAGACTCTTCACTCTTACTCTTCTTAGCCTTCAACGCTTGTATACCAACTCCAATTCGCGGAGATAAAGCCTCCATTAAGGTATAATGTGAATTTTTCCTTAGGAATGTTCTCGCTGTCCTTTCTTTCCAAGCCTTTGCTTGCGAAAGAGTAGACTCTAAAATTGGTAAAGCATCCAGGTGCAACGGAATACTTCTGCCCTTTTTAATCAGATCATCTAACGTATCATAGTAAGGAAAATTTTCTCTCGCTTGCACCTCCTCTACCATTTTTGTCCAATTTTTTGCTTTGTTCAATGTGTCTTGGAGAATATCTAAACTTGGTAAGTAAGCTTCTACTTCGTCGGCTTCGCGAATAAATTCTTCTAAAGACGATATATTTTGTCTGCTTTTCATATGAAGATACAACTTTGCTTTCTCTTCCCATTTATCGATTCCAATCATTAACGCTTGTAGTTCGGAAAGTGTATTTTCTATACTTAAATGAGGCGGTATCGTCATACCTTTTTCAATTAATTTTGCTAAATCGTCGCGATGTATAGATTTTGGATCTTCTTGAATAGACTTTACTTCGACAAGCCACTGAATTTGTGTTAATTTCTGCAATAAATAAAATATTTAATTGTGCTATAAAATGAAGAGTGATTGTTGATAAAAATGTGTTCAATTTATGTCTACTTACTTGTTTCAAACAAACGAGTTGAGGTAGCTCGATACAGATAGAATCTCCAAAATCGATACATTTTTCCAGCTGTTCAATATCACAATTATCCTTAGCATCTAATTCTTCAGCTTCTTTTTGAAATTGTAACACTTGATCAAGTATAAATTTTACACCGTCTGATTCTTTCAGTTCACAGCACAAATTTGTGATTTCTTTATAAAAAAGAGTTAATTCTTCTACTGTAAGTTTATATTTAGTTTCAACCGATTGTCTGGTTCTAAATAACAAATATTAAAATAAGTATATTTACATAACATGTTTTATGTGCACAAACTGAATAGCAATTGTACCTGGTTCGCTGCTTGTTGTTTAGAAGTTGTTGCGCGACACTTGCACACTTTTCAGCATCTTGTACAGCAGTTGTTAAAGCTGTTAATAGCTCACTTTCTGGGAACTTTTTATTTTCCGCTTCGTTCAAAAGCTCCTTCAACTCGTTCAACTCAATTTTATCACTCTTCTTATCAGGATCCATTGCTTCTTTTACTTTTGTTACCCATGAGTCAAAAGACTCTGCTTTTAATTTTAACTTTTGTAACATAATGGGTAGTTCGTCTAAAGTATATCGATAACGTAATGTGTGCTTCTCTGGAGAGCAATCACAAAGTTCGGTAAAATGTCTCAAGCAAACTAACTGTGAACTCTGGCATGAACATGTAACCGCACTTAAGAAACAAGTTGTTTTGCACGCTTCACACTGTCTCTCATCATCGGGTAAAAGTTCAAATGCTTCGCGTTCTGCTTCTGTTACGCCCTAAAAAACACGATTTTCATTGCAAAATCATTCATGGAACCATTTACCATTCTCACATTTTTAAAGGAACATTAAATCAGAATGGGCCTGTGTATCAATGAAACACATGTACCCATCTGTGTAAAAATTTACTTCGCTATACAGAAAGATTTTGCAAAAATACGATTCATTTAAGAATATCGTGGACACTTCTCGATCAATTCACGAGAAATATTATAAAATTCTCCGAATCGACAGAGGAAACGTAATGCCTGTTTAGCATCATGGCAAGGCTTTAAAAACATAACCTCTATTCACCAATTAAAGTTACATAATCAAAATCAGAGACACACCAAATAGGCATCAGCTTAGTCAAGGTCGATAACTAAAGAACGATCGCACAAAAACTATTTTAACGACAACGGACACAGGCTAACCAAATATAACGAATTATATGGAGGCATTAATGAGTAATATAACATGGATGGTGGAACTCTACTGCGATGACCAATGGTTGGCAATATCAGACGCACACACACGTCCTGTACCGCGTGTGCCCGCATGGCTACGATGTATGCGTTTGCCGACGTATGCGTGCGGCACTGTGTGCCTGAATCGGTGAGGGAATGCTTTAGCACTTACTATACTGTTTGACCTAAATACATTGGTCCTGTGCATTTAGAATTATAACCCGTCCTGTGTTATTGGCTAGTTTCGGAGGGAAAATTTAAATGCCCAAAATTTAATGACCAAATCTTCTTATACATTTTAGTTAAAACCGAAGCGTAATATTTTAAATAATTAATAAATCGTTTGTATATTTATTTACTCCGTTGAAAAGCTAATGTATTATTATTAATGGGTGTTATATATGAGTTATAATCCTTTCAATCGAAATAACGGGTCCAACTCATGAATATGTTTAATTTTAATAAATAAGGAAATATTTTACTGTGAAAGTTGATTGAATTTAGAATTTTAACTTCTACAAGCATGTATTAAAATAACGTGTAAAATTAAATGCCGCACTCTATTGATGATGACCACGGAATAAATAACGGTCAGATGGTTAAATAATGATGTAAAAAATATATGGATCAAACACTTTTGAGGAACATTCAGTTATGTAAAAAGAAATCAATCATTTCAGGAATAAAATCAACAATAATATTTATAAAAGTACAACTTACCCATTCCAATAAATTTTTTCGTAATTTTTTCTCGTCGTCTACCATCTGCAGCATGTCATGATAAGTTGCGGTCGCAATTCCTATATCCAATGAATCTGGATCCAGTGACATTTTGCATACCAATTCATCATGAGAAAATACACAAAATCGTCTTAAATTCGAATAATGCGTAATACATTCCCGGCCAATTTTAAGCTATTAAACACACAATAGAATGTAGAAAGCATGGGATAGTGAAATCGATGATAAAAATTTAGGGTGATAGCATACCCAATCTGCAGGTGCGAAATTCACAGCTTCAGCAAAGTTATATCCCTGATTGAATCCGGCATGGTACGCTCTTGGAAATGTCACAACAAATTCTCCCGCGTGCTGATCAGTTCTGAATACTGGAACACCTACAGATAGAATTTAAACAATATTAATAATCGTTAATAAAATATAGTCTACAACACAAATAAACTTACATAAAAAGGCATTATAAATTCGAGAAATATGGAATAACATAACTTGAGGATATAGAAATATAGAGCCTTAAAATTTGTCTATTAATTTTACATTACCTTCGCTTGTCAAAATATTTGGATTCATGATAGTAACCAACTGATGGAGCAAATCTGGCTGACTATGAAATAGTTCTGGAGCAGCAGATTTCATTGAATGCTCAAATCGTTCTGCCTGAGCGCCTGGAACACCGTACCACGTTTTTGGTTCTCCCCAGTGTAGGTAGTTGATCGAGTAGCTCCAGTGATCCTCGTTGTGCCAGCAAAATGTTGCAAAACACATGCCTACGTACATCCATGGTACTTTCATGCCACTGATGTCAGCATTAATGTGACCTAATACGCTCGTACGTAAAACTGGCAAATTATTTAAGTTCCATGAAGATTCAGCATATTCTTGGTCGCATGTAAATAAATTAACGCTTGTTTTTGTTGGAAATCCCGAACCATGATCCATTGTGTGTAAATCTGCCCCGTATTCAACTGTTACATCTTCATCGATCGAAGAAACTATTCGCCAAAATTCTTTTTCTACTAAGGATGTTGGCACCATCTGCAGCAAAATAATTTCATACTTATGTTGATTTGATCAATTCTATATTCACTGTATCGTTAAATGTGAGAAGGTAACGTACATGTACAGGCATGTTGAAGTAATCGCTCTTAAATTGATCAGCCATTTCTCCAAATTGTTGAAGAGTATACTCCCTCTGTGCTTGCTCAAATCCAAATGCTTCCATCGGCTTGGAAACTTCTTCGGCAACACACTTTGGACACCGCCAATCACCTTTTGGTATTTCTGTTAACGGTGGCATAAGACAGAAAGTATGATAACTATCGTCACATCCATCACAGAGAAGCATATTTTCTTCATTGTCACCTCTTCCACAATTGTGACAAATATATTTTGCCAACTGTACAAAAACATGTATAATTTTAAAGAAAATATTTACACATAATTATCATAGAGAATCAAGACATAATGCATACTCACAGGATCAAATTCATAAACAAGTTTCACACCTCTAGTCTTATTAGATTTCTTTGCTTCTTTGGTATTAAATCCAGCCATTTTTGGGCCAGGTCCGTAAAACTGTAATTTCTTAAGCTCTTTACTATTATCATCACCATTTTTACTTCTCAGTCCATCTTTACAGTCATTGTCAGAATCACATTCTTCCTTACAATCTTCTTGTTTAATAGATACTTCCTGTTTTTCTTCTTGGCCAGTGAATCTTTTTGACCGCCGTGAAAATTTCTCAGCTGGAGGTTTGATTTGCTGACGTGAGATGATTCCATGTGGTTTATAGTCTCTGTCCTTCTTTTCACTCACATTGGAATCTGGTTCAATTTTCTGTATAATTAAATGTATATGAAATACACATATACGCGACAACTAACTATAAATTTTACACCGTACAAAAAGAAAATGACTTACAATGTCTGTCAAAGTTTTCCCTTGCTTAAAGACATCGAATGGATACAAAATTCGTTCATAATGATTTTTTAATATGCTGCCTACGCTGCGTCCAGATGGATAACCTAATTTATTTGCAATTTTTGCCCACCTTCTTTCCCTTGTTACTGTTTCAATTCCACCTGTAATTATTGTGCTTAGCATTAATATACTAAGCTCATAGTATCGATCCAACTATTGTTAATAGTTTTGATGATTAAACACCAAACACAAACCTTCATCTGTGACAATCTTGTGTAAAGAATATAAATCAAGAGCTTTGCGTTCTACAAGAGGAATTTTTAAAGAGGAACCTTGTAGTTCCCAAAACTTTGCAATTTGATCTAAAAAATTTAGTTTTATCCTTGTTTTTGCCTCCAATTCATTTAATCTTTGTATTCGTGGAACAAATTTAAATTTATCAACATCAACAGCAAATGGTGGCTGCCAATTCTGCAAGAAAGCAGTAAGAGAATTCCATACAAATTTGTAATGTTATTTCATTTATAATGTAATGAAATAACAGGATGTGAACATGAAGTCATAATACTAGCATGGTATCATTACATTATTATCAGTACATTAAATTATTACTAAAAGTTATATAATATTTCAATTACTCCTATACATAAGATTCTTTTATTTACAAAAATTTGATATAAACTTTAAGACAATTTTCCAACGTTTTTCGGTAACATTGCGATTGTGTAATTGTGCAAATTTGTTAATAGAATGCCATTGATTAAATTTTTAAGCAATAGCTCGAACGAAATAAGACGACTTTCCATTTGTAGTATGTTAATGTAAAAACATCGTATTGCGTTGTTTACTACGGCTTTCAAATTCGTACACCTATGCAGTGATACTTACAGGTCTTCAGAAGAGTCAATTAGTTTAATAAAATTGAGATTTACGCCTACGATACAGGCAAACTTTACAGAAATACCGTTATCAATTTTAATCGATATTGATCTAGCAATAAAAAAAATTAAAAAAATAGAAAAATTCCATGTATTCTGTTATCGTTTAATATATTGAAAATTCATTGACGAAGGTAGTAACCCATAAATATATATGTCTAAATAATCAATAAGTGGCTTCGTAGCTTCATCTCTATCATGACGCAACAACCATTGCAATGGTTGTCGGACAAATTTTTTAAGGGCATCATTCATTTTTAATTAAAGCTACGAACGTATATCTTCGATCAAATGCTGTCTAGACCTGTCGTACTTGATGCAACGATCAAATAAACATCGAAATATCATCGCACGATGTATACTGCTACGGCGTACAAATTCACGAAGAAAATAAACGAAACATCGCTAAGATTTTCTCCATATACGACGCCCATTTAATGTCGTGGCCATAGTTATTTCCGTAATGGCGTCATCCCGTTACAAAATATAAATTTTCTCAAAGGCTCACAAGCCATTAACAAATAAATCGTTATACTTAAGACGAATAATGAAACATACAACAACAGAGATTAACTTGCGAATTAACATTAACAACAACAGTCTTGGACAAAATCATTTCTGTGCAATCTAAGAAAATGCTGACAATATACTCGACATTGTTAAACTAACAAGTAGACTCTATGAATTAAGAACATTATTTAATTGTTACAAGTACAAGTATTTTCATATCATGGATTTATAAAGTTTGTAACAGACATGTTGAATTCGTGACAACAAGTTTCAATTATTTAGACAATGAGGAATACGTTGTGGAAGTTTACAAATTAGATTAACGAATATTTTCGGAATCTTTTCTCAATGAGAAACTTTTTGTTTCGTTGAATTCGCAATAGTTCGACTTTCAAATAAATACGTTTTAGTAATGCATTAATAATTTTTATCATAGCAAAATAATTTTAAATGCCACAATCATCTACCACGTGTTGCCGAAATTCAAACAAATTTTATTGAAATTCTAGATCGTTATTTTAGAGAAATGCAAAGTACATGACATCTTTTAACCCATACTTTGTACAATTTTCCACATAATTCGCAGCATCATAATACTCGAACGATAATTTGAAATATGATTAATTTAGAGGGAAGAGCTAAATATAATTTAATCGAATAATACTATATTTAAAAGGAAGCTCATTTTCTTCTATCATGAATTTTACACGGTGGTTTATGGACGTTCATAGCTATGACATTCGATTTATCCTAGGATTATTATTAAATCGAGTTTACTGTTTCTTTCCTATACTTTTAAAAATTGAAATACATTTGCTAACATCTACGTTGTAAAACCTTTTTCCACGCGTGTAGAAACAAAATGGTGGCACAAATCGGTTCTAATAGTAATGCAAATTAAACGAACAATATACGAAACGTGGTCTGCCAAAAGGAGAGTATTCGGAAAGTAAAAATTTCTCCATATTTTCTATTTAAAAAATTTCCATGATACTAGATATTCTTTGGACATATATTATATAAAGCCTAAAGGACAACATAAGTTTTATCATTTGCTTGAAGGAAATTAGAAATAAACTTTTTCTCGGTATACTAGCATTTCCCATATGATGCTCCAAAAAATTAATAAAATTCGCGTATACGAAAGCTTGCACGATCGTCTACGTGCTTCGAAACGAAATAGAAACTTCTAAGAAAATATCAAACGATTCCCATATTTGTGATATTACGATATCAGAACGTCCCAAGAAGATCGTTGACCACGAACGATGATAATTTTTTCAGCGCTTTCTCCATCGATTCCATCAGCATCGTTTATAATTTCCAAAACATTTCGAGACATTTTGCTAAGGTGACATTGTTTCGATTGTCTCGGCCATTTTACATAGCGTACCTCCTAGCTATAACGATATTAATGTCGCAATGTGACGAGTACCTAACGTTACTTGATTTCAGATTTTTTTGCTTTCCGAGAATTCTCTCTTTTTCCGATCATAACTTCACGATTAAAAAGATACGAATGCAATTTGGAGTTGGGCACAATATCTATCAACGTATCTTGCGAAGGCAAAATGCTTTGACACACGGCATCGCAGTCTTTTCTTCCCTTTTTCACCGTATTATCATTCGTCTCGTGTCGACGGAAACGCTGCGACTCTTGCCAGACCCCAGCGTTTTAACGCTGATACGAGAAAAGGCGACCAACGATATTGATATGAAAATATGGTGTCACGGGAAATTGACTTTATATTTCGATTAATTTTCGTTCTAATGTACGTATTACGTAGGAACTCGTTTATTTTGTGATGTCACGGCTGTGATGTCCGTACGGAAGCGTCATAGCATGTAAACGAGGTCGTGCGTGCATATTTGCACGCCCGACATTCACGAAAAAACATAAAATTTGTCCATTTGTGCTCGACTCCGTTCAAACGAGACAGCGGAGAATAGGAGGATCGATGTGTAGCGTCCTTCCCACAATAATGGATAGGAAAGAGAAAGCAGGGAGACAGACAGAGAAGAAAAAGATTGATGTAATCGCGATGGAAGGATTTACTCACAGGCGGCGGTTTGATTTTACAAATACCAGACTTCTCCGCGATCGGTCGTATTTTTGCAATGTAGCCAAGGGGGTCGTGAAACTCTTCAATACTCGGTTCGAAGACCGGCGCCTCTGGCGGTATAATGAACTCGAAGTCCGAATCACCACGATCGCAAGCCATGTCTTGGGTGCAGTGATAAGTCCCGAAAAAATCCTCGCAACCGAAATTCGTGTCGAACCTCGATACCATGACTTGAGTGTCCAACACAGCTTGGACGCGGATAGGTGGCCCACACGCACCTAACGCGGGTGAGGACCTCGCGCCAGCTCCAGCACCGTTACTCAGCCGCCGGCTGCGAGAATTTGTTTAGCAGTATGCTTCGGTAAACTGTCATCACGAGCTGCATTTGTGTATTTGGTGGAAAGTGATTGACAATGTACGCGTTAGCCACGAAACACACGACACACAACATCCACGATATCACGCGTAGCCTCGCACACGAGCAACTGTCCTATTCCTTGCTTCATATACCTCTTCTTCCCTTGTGTCCACTTGACTGTAATGCAACAGTGGCGCCACCTCGCATCGAGGAACGTGTCAATAGCGATTCATGTATATTATGCTTTTTGTAAGCCGTTAACGGCATAGATGCATCCAAGAAAACATTGTTATTTACATAACAAATTACATAAAATGTAAGCTTAATAACATATATGCCGTTACAGACTTTACCTTAAATTTTAAGTAAATCTGCGCATCGTGGGTTAAAATTTCAATTACGATACGTGATAAATAAAAACGAAAATTCCCTATGACATCTTTTAGCTTTTTCAATTTCTTATGTAATCAATTTTAATATTGACTCATACAATTTTTCAACGAAAATCATATAGTAAACTGTATCTATTTTAAACATATATATTAATTATGAAATCAGTTTGTATTCTAATACATTCGACATAAAATAAATACTCTGTAGCGTTGAAATCTTATTACAAAATCAACACAATTTATGCAAATAATTAAATGCCAGTACTATTATGAAATGTAATATAAATTTCTATTACAGTAGCACATGTATTTTTCATACAAGCAGTTGCAACTTTCATTTTAGAGCATAAATATTAACAAAATCACATCTGAATTATATACATTTAAATTTAGCGCTTCTTTTGCCTTAGATGGCGTTTCAGCTGGTTCAATTATCGTACTGGCAAATGTGCTTCAGAAATATCAGTATTCTGTGAGCATCTGAACTCTTCTAGTTATCGAGTACGTAAAATATTACGTAAGTTTTATATTTTTAAAATAATTGCATTTAGGTACATATTGAGTTAAATAAAATGCAAATATCTTATATAGATTATTTTTAAAAAACAGACTGCATTGCGGACTACTTGTTACTGTCAATTGGTTACGTTTTATTGCCGTTTATGAGAATAAAATATTTCTTTTACAGAATCCAATCAAAATGGGTAAAATGTTCGGAAATCTTGCGAAAATACGTGGCGTCACGTATTTTCGCCTTAGTCCCCACGAGCAAAAAGCATTTGCTGGAGTAATAAGTCATGGTGTACCTAATATGTTACGTCGTATAAACGAAAATATACTTACAGTTACACCTTGTAAGTATTTTCTTTAATTACAACACAATGTTTTAATTTTTCCTATTACACTTTATAAAAGTAATAAAAATTGCAACAGTTATACTGCAATTAATGGTATGTTATATAAGTTTAAATGTTTGATTTTGTGTTACAGTCTTCATTGCTACGTATCTAATCATGACATGGGCAGATGAAGCAAATCACGCGATGCACCGCAAGGACCCCAAACAGTTTGAGAATGACAAATAAATTACAATAATCAATGTATAATCATTATTAATAGTGAATTATCCTATGCACTATGTTACTCATGCTAAGGGTCAGTCATAATATATTCCACAAATGTGCACAGTGCAAAGGGTTAAATAGATTAAAGTATATGTATGTATATACTAAATTGGAAATAACAATTGCTCTAACCTTTTGTATAGTATATATCAAATTACCTTATGTCTATAATATAATTTTGTTTTTTACCCTGTAATATGATTATATAGAAACATTATTAAATTAGTTTAATGAACTATGCATTTTGTTATACTTTATAAAGATCCCACACAATATGTTATAACTACAGTCAAATTTGCGTACGAAAAGTTATATTTTTTAAATAAATTAATCTCTACTTAGGACCATAAATTTTAATTGATATAATGAATGCAACAATTTACAATAAAAAATGAAATTGTTCATCATTTTAGTTATCTTATTCTTATTTGTTTGATAATTATATCGAGTTTAGTAAAAATACCAAAAGTATTTTTAGTACAATGTAATAAAAAATTTCTTTAATATGAAACGTAATACATCAAAAGCAAGCGCCTTGTTACACCCGTCTCCCATCAAACACTAATCAACAGGTGTAACTCATCTTTCTTTGAGAAAAATTCTGTACATTCGTTCGTTGTAACGGATAGTTTGATTGGTTCAAGATACAAGTCATCGGATTTCTTCGGGATTTCCGTGGCATCACCCAAAGCGGCAAGGTATTAGACCCGCACGCTATCAATTATTCTCATTTCTAAATAATGCAACCTTGTTTTCCTAATTATTATTAATAATAAAATGCACCATAATGTCTCTTATACAGTATAACTACCAATATTATGATTTCCAGTACACTTGTATGTAAAACGTGTCACATAAGTTTTGGTATTATTATTCGTTTATAACAATATTTGCGACTGTTTCTAAAACCTTGCATAAGACTCTTCATATCAGGCGTTAAAAATAAAGCCATCAAACGGTATTTTACAAAAATTTATACAAAAAAATTTGTCAATTGAAATCATCGTTAATTTACCGTTAAATTACCGCAAAGTCATTATTGCCATTGTTCATTCTTCTTTTACTATTATTTTGGTAGCGTTCTCTTTTTAGTTACGTTTTACGTTATATTTTCATGCGATTCAGAAGATCTCAAGATCTCAGCCTCGATAAATTTCAATTGTTCATTATTCCCTGCTAATTACTTCTCGATCGCAATATTTTCCCAAGCAGTTAATACGCCCCTGCCGCGGCGCGTCGAAAGTATCCGATTCCGTTAGATCTGAACGCCATATTCCGCAGCTAACTTTCAACCAATAGGAAAACCTGTATCAGCAATGCACCTGGGTAACACAGGTAAGATGTGGACAAGGCAAAGAGCGACCAGGTAGTTGTTCAGGTATTTCCAGTCGAGCATGATCGGCACGTAGAGCTCTTTGCCGAAAGCTTCCCCTCCCTCTCCTTCTATCTCTTTCTCCTTTTGGGTGTGTGCACATTGTGAAAATTTGTAAATAGGTAAGTAAAGAACGTCGTTGTGTGAAACAGTTATTGTTCGCGTATACGTCGCGCAAGCTTGTGATCCTTGATGACCGTTTATTCCGTACGGGTACCGAGCCGCGGAACAGTGATCCAGCGGACTCGGTGAAACGCTGCTGTCAAGGTATTTATGGAAATGATTTCTTGACTGGAGTCATTGCACCGAATACAACGACGTGGATTTCTCCCCGCGTAGAACCGACGTGATCACACCTGTTGCTCTGTACGTCGCCGATGATAATCGTCACGCGAACGTACGTATCCTGTGTGTATATTTCGTGTTCTGGCCGCGGTAACGGATTTCAATAAGAAAAATTCCTACGGGCATCGACAGCGTGTGCCGTCGAAAGACGCACGGTCGGGGTATGCTCGACGACGAGCGTGGAAAAAAATCGTTTGCAATTATATTTCCGGTGGCATCTTCGTCGGGTCTCGAGCGGCGCGATACAATCGTACGGTAAACAATTGTCGTCCACGCGAGACCACGGGCACGGTCTTAACCCGTGCGTTGGTCGTTGCACTTTAAGAAATTTTTCTGCGATCTAACCTGTCCCGAAGACGCGACGAAAACGTAACGTACGATCGTTTCGCGACGAAAACTGCGCGAACATCGGCGAAACTAATAACATCCCGATGCGTGGAAATACAGTGATTTGAATACACACGTAAGCACTTATTGCACACAACCACCGTGGCAATCGTAAATCGTAGCGTGCATTTTTATCACGTTATCACTGTCACGTTCGGATGAATCGCGGTGACTCATTGCTTTAGAACTCAGACTTCCGTTTATTTTATTATGTATTGTTATTACATCTTAACATTTTTACGCGTTTACTTTTACACGGTCCAACGGGAGTCAATTTAACGGCAAGAAAGATCGTCGAATAAAACTTTAACACGCGTAGAAAATAATAATAGCCTATAACTATGGAAATGAAGAAGGAGCAGCGACTATTTCTTCGCCGTTTTATAAGGAGGTTCCCTGCCCATGACATTTACGATAGACATTCCCTCGATTCCCGCAAACACATTGTTTATCGTGAATCGATAACGTTTTCGAGATTTAAATACAATTGTCCCGGGCAAAGTCGTAGCACGTTGAATTGCTTCTATCACGCAAAAATCCTTATCTCCGAGATAGTCGATGCTGGGATGCAATTACGTGGGCTGTTTCGCAAGTTTTTACGGTTCCATTATGTTACCTATAAATAACGCGAACACGTAGATTCGGTTACCAATTACTTAGCTGATCCGTTTGGCGAATTTCGAATACTAATTTACATCGAACGTAAAACAGAAATACCGTTTTGTTTTAATTCCACTGTATTGCGCAAATATTTACGTAATAGTCGAACGTGATGTTATATTATGTTAAATATCGTGCCGAAAGAATCGAAAGACATGTACGCGAAATAACGAGAGGCAACGGAATGCCAGGATTATTTTAATGGTTTAACGATTACTCTCGAGACATTTGAAAACGAAGATATTGATGTAGCATCGTGACTATACGACAACCACCTGTAATTCACGCCTACGAAATGCCTACATGTTCCCCATTACGACCGTTGCGGCATATATTGCAAATATTTACAGAACTCCGTGTACATCGATATTGCATCGAACGGCCTTCGATATCCTGAGAGGAAAATAGCGTAATCCGTTGCGTTCAACTTTTTTTTTTTACACAATTCACGCAACTATAACGAAGCATTGTAGATTCTTTTACAAGTAACATTAATTATACGGACAACTTGCGTAAACCATTTTAAAAATATCTACATAGAATTTTAATTTGTTTATTTCTGTTATAATCTGATACTTTTTCGACTATCTATTATAGAACGTAATGGTGTTGTTTCGACGCAATTGGCGCCGTTTAATAAATTGAAAACTGGAGAATTACGATATTGACCAAGTTTTGGCAAACACAAAGATATGGACTCGAGTCTGATAGGGACGATAAACAAACATCCACGTTACATGCACACGAGGCTTTAATACGATCGATTAAGAGTGTCTTTAATCTCTACAAATGATTTAGTATCAAAAAAATTGAACACTTTATACAGGGTGTTCGGGAAAAATTTTAAAGGGAGATTCTGGAGGTCAAAATAAGACGAAAATCAAGAATGTCAATTTGTTGATCGAGACTTCGTTAAAAAGTTATTAACGTTTAAAGTAGAGCCTGTAGAGTTTCTCATGCTGAGTGAGAACCACTATCGTGCGCGCGCAGCTGTACGCAGACTGCCGTTCTACAGGCGTAACTTTAAACGTTAATAACTTTTTAACGAAGCCTCGATCAACAAATTGGTATTCTTGATTTTCGTCTTATTTTGGTCTCTGGAATCTACCATTAAAATTTTTCCCAGGAGTGGTCGAACACCCTGTATATTTTACAAATTAAGTAATTTTTAGGGCAGTTTTTTTAACGTTCCTGATAGGAATTTCCACGGAAGTACTCCGGGGCTCAAAGAACAATATACATAAATATTGCAACACAGATAAGAAACGATTTCAGATCGCCGATAAATTATCTGGAAACCTTGTTTTCGATAAGACACACGCTGAATCTATCGTATTGGCTCTAGTTGGTGGAAGAATATTCGCTCAGCGCTGGATTAAGCGCCAGGAAGTTTCGATTAATCGGGCATTAATTTGTCGATAGGTGGATGCAAGCGAGTGAAAAGTTCATTCCCTCGGTCCATTCACTGCGAAACTTGTTCGCGATCGGCGGATCAGTAGGTATGCGAGGCGCATTGGCAACTTTCTTTCCACTTTTTCAATACTCTCGCGCGGGTATCCGTCCACGATATGTTTACTTTCAACAGGCGTTTACCTGCCCCCCCACCGGAATCAGGTATTTCCTGGAAAAGCGAGTCTCGAACTTGTCCAATTCACCTGTTAGACTTTCGGCTGGGGCGGGGTAAAATCGAACCGAGTTTTTCCGAGCTTCGTGCCGGGTCATGGCGGTCTTCTACCTGAACTTCCGTGCATACGATCCCTTAATCTTCTCTCTCGCTGGAGCTTACGGTTAGAACTTCTTACGTTGTTTCGAATCCTATCGAGCCATATCGCAAATCACACTAAATATCTTCCACGAGGTTATATAACTCGTTTATGGCCTCTAATGTATCGTATACCTTGCTAACCAGCAAAGTCGTTCGAAGCAGACGATCCTTTTATTACGCTCAGCCGTGTATCTCTCTGGTATGATAATGGGGAACCGTTTCCCAAGTATAAGTCCGCGAAAGATTGTTCGCGCGAACGTTGGAACGACAAGAAATCTGTAAATGGCGGTTATACCTGGTTTATTTACAAGTAATTGCTACGCTCCTATTTATTAACTATTTTTTGCATAGCACTGTTGAGTTAGCAGAGCCAAGATCCTTCCTTGTTACCTGTGTAACCAGTGGACCTGCACGCAGAACGGCACGCCTCTTCTTATAGTAACTTTTATTCTCGGCACGAGGCTTTCCAGAACTTCTATAACTTCTGTCTACGTTTACACTTCGTTATCTCCGGAGTGTTTGCAGAAGTTGACTCGAGGTGTGGGAGAAACCTGTCGGGCACTAATTTATGCCTTGGAACGTATCGACGTAACTGAATTATTGTAGTATGTTACACTGATACAGAACAGTGTTTTCCTAAGTGGTCTCAACCTCTTTCTCGGAAGTTGTAACGCATCGACTCTTGGATTTTAGTTACTCGCAAAAGGGTTAACAACCTTTTGGTTGCACGGTTTGTACCGCTCGCTGGCGAAGGAAGGGAATGCGAGCATTTGTTGCTCGTGCCATGATAAATCGGGAAGACGTACGTTTTACGAGGTTGCTTGCAACCACCTTGCGCGGGAACGTAACGTTAATGACGGCATAAATTCCTCCTCTTTTGCGCGTGCAAATCCGCCGAACGCGTGCCCCGCTCGCTACAAAAAATTTTATTATTAGAAATCACATCATTGGAAAAGTATATTATTTATTTTGAGCATTTCGTCTCTGCTCTTTCTCCATGGGGTCGTTTCTATGGACACCGTGCTACACCTTCCGAGAATTCGCCCGAGGCGCGCGACGAGACGCGATCGCCATTGCTATGTGCCCGAGAAAACGCGATTTGCGTGAGAATGCGAAACTTTCCGTCCCTTTCCCGCATTCGACGCGGCTGCAAATCTCGTTTCAACGTCTGACGCGCGTGTTCCAACCCGGGATAATATCCCGTGGTAATTTGCGTGCATTACGTGGGTGTAATTGCATTTTGCTACTCGGCTGGCGTGTATCGTTCTGCTTATGGGAACCGTGGAAAACGGTACTCGCGATCTCTAGCGATCTACCGTGCACGATGACTCGTAATCGAGCGATATCCGAGGGGCAATTCCACGGTTGAAATTAGGGAGATAGTGGTACTTATATGGTCTCGAATCGTGCAGGTTTTATCTTCTAGTTACGAGTCCAAGTATGATCTTCTGCTACGTCGTTAGAATTCGCGATAATCGTCCATGTCGCGGGAATGAAAACCGCTCCTAAATCGGGGATGAGAAAGTATTCGATAATTGAAACAATAAAAGAAGTTGTAGCTTTCAGATCGGTTATCAAAATATACTCTACGGTGGTCAGTAGAAGAGAAATCGCGATAATAAAGAAAAACGTTTATCGATATGTTGTTTATCAATTTGTAAATCGTTGATCCACATCGCCTAAAGTCGACGAGTCCGAATTCTTTTTCTACGGAGACTGGTTCTGACCTTCCTGCTTTACGTAATCGTCGCTCGAAGCTTTCAACGTTGGAGGTTCGAAAGGAAATTCTCCGGTTTAGATGTCCATCTTAGGCGACGGCGAAGAAGGTGTCAGAGGATCGAATGCCGTTTCCGTCGCGTACGGTCAAGGACGTGGTTGCTTCAGCGCATTCTCGAGATGAATTTTTCTTCGAGGGCGTGTCCGCATCCATAAGCAATTATGCTCTCGCACTAGTAAAACCGTAAG